GGGGGGAGCTCCCCAACCCCCTGATGGGCCCTGCTCGGTGCGTGACAGGGGGGAGCTCCCCAACCCCCTCTGCTCTGTTGCTCTGTGCATGACAGGGTACGGAGCCCCAACCCCCCTGATGGGCCCTGCTCTGTGAGTGACAGGGGGCAACCCCCTGAACCCCCTGATTGGCCCTGCTCTGTGCGTCACAGGGGGTGGCGCCGCAACCTCCCCATCGACCCTGCCTTGAGTGTGACAGGGGGCGGTGCCCCAACCCCCCAATCGGCCCTACCCTGAGCGTGAAAATCTTTGTGCACCGGGCCTCTAGTTGTTTATATAATGCCCTACTTACATGCCGGTGAGTTTATAGGCTATTTTAGATCAGCTTGTAATATTAATTAACACTGCTCTCAGTTCTTTTTTTTTTTTACAAATTGAGAGTTTTGTGCATAGATTTTTTTTTTAAGTTTTCCAAAGAACAAAACATTTTAAATAACTTTAAAGGTTAAAAATATTCTCTCTGTCATTGCACTTACTTGTTCCTAGCACTGTAGACATTTTTTTCTCTTAATCTCCTAATTTTTTGTATGTTCAAACTTGGTAAAGGTAGGTGTCGGCTTTGAGAATAGTTAAGAAATCTTCAGCTCATCAATAGCTTCATTTGAAATTTACGCCTCAACCTTGCTAAGAAACCCCAGACACCTGCATGTTTAACCTACTCCTTTCTTCAGTGCCTTTCCATCTCTCACCTTTAGTGTCTAGCCTCACGTCACTCAGTTTTGTAGTTATTCACTTATTCTTCCCTACCACACGGTTACTGCGCTTCTCTGCATGGACCAAGCTGTTCTAGAGGACAGGGATATGCTGGTACATAAAAGGTGATCCCTTTTGGATTACACTTAATTGTGTGTGATAAATCCTATCATGGAGAGAGGTACAAAGTGCTTTGGTGGTACAGAATTTTATTTATTTATTTGGTACAGGATTTTAAAAAGTCAATTCTGTTGGGCATTGTAGAAGAGCTAGGAGAAGATGGAGTATAGATAATCTGCAACTTAGGATAGTTCGACTTTATGGTGGTGCTAAAGTGATAATGCGTTCAGTAGAAATGGTACTTCAAATTTTGAATTTTGATCCTTTTCCCGGGCTATGGCTATACAGTACAATACTCTCTTGTGATGCTGAACAGTGGCAGTGAGATGACTTTGCCCAGCTGGAACTAATGTATGTGTTCCAGCACGTTTTTGGTGGGCTATTGTCCACTTATATTGTCAACATATAATACATTAATCAGGACATAACCCCATCGTAAGTCGAGGAGTATCTGTATTTGAACGGGACTCCTCGATAGAAAAAGAGCAGGGGAGATGGGGGTGTCAAGGTGGAAGGAATAGAATGACTTAGTTGTAGTCCTTCTTGGTCCAGAGACTTGGTAGTCATCTTTATTTCCTGCTTCTAAGTGGTGTAACCAAAAGTACTGTGGCATAGTCCTCCCATCAGCTGGAATATTGTGCTGCATTTTGAATAGATCCTTTGAGTTAGGTTTTCCATTCAAAAGGAATAATGAGCCACCTAAGACGGAAGGTCATTAGGGTAGGGAGCTTGCCTGGTTATATTTGGCTTCCCACGACTTTGAGTAGACCTAAATCTGCTGTGGAGGTCATGCACATTTCTTCATCTTCCGTAGTTCTTTCCTTCTTATCTCAAGACTTACTGTACATAAAAAAACTGCTTTGTTTGAGGTATTTTATCTTGGAGAGTGTTATTTTTTTCTCAAAATTGATTTAGTTATGGTTAAGGGGGAAAACTGAAGAGGCAGCTCTCATAGAGATTGTATTTCCAAAGAGGTTCACATTCGACAAAGAAAATTACTATAGAAAGAAGCCATCTAGCCAAGAGTCTTTATGTCCTTGAATTTCATCCTCAAGAACACTTATCTTAGAAAAGACTTGACTGGTCAAAGGCATCATTATAGGAGGAAGGTGGGAACAGGCATTAGGTTAAAACATTTCAAGTTATAACTGGAATAAAAGAAACAATAGCTATCAAAAGTTGGTCTTTTAAAAGGATCACTCTAAAATACTGGCCACCATTAAGTAAAGATCAATTGAAAATTTTCCAGTTTTAAATAAAAGTAAAGATCATTTGAAAATTTTCCAGTTTTTAATTTGAGAAATGGTTGCTATAAATCTAACCACAGTGTGGAGAGAAAGCATATATGTGGTGCTCTTACCATTTCTTGTGCCACAGCTTATTGTGACGGTGCCATTCGAACAGGCTCTCTGGTCCCTGCTCAGGTGCCAGGAGGTCACACTAGAAGAGGTTTGCAGGAACTCTGCTAATTGCCACGCTGTTCCCACCCCTCACCAGCTTCTTTGCTTATTTTTCCTCTCTTCTTGGACTACATTTCAGTGGCAGGAAGAATGAATATAAAATACTCATTTTGCCAAGATTTGGTATTCTAAAACAAAAAAAAATTTTTTTTCTGACCGAGAGGGAGCTAGCTGCATGTACCAAGAGCACCTTGCTCTTTCCGGAGGAGAGGAGAGCTTTATGTGGTCAAAATTCTGTTACTAACTGGGGAGAAAGTACCATTTTTATTTGGACTTTGGTCGTTTATTGGGTTGGACTTTGGTCGTTTATTGGGTTTATTAGAATTTATATTTCATCAGATGTAAAGTTTTTATGGCCTGAGAAACTTAAAAGGAAGTTTATGAGAATAACCAGAGAAATGCAGTGGAAGGTAAGACAGGCTGATGCCCTGTTGTCCTAGCGGATATAGCGGACCCTTGAACAACGCAGGTGTGAACTGGGGGGTCAACTGAGGAAAACCCACATAGTGGGCACAGTTCAAACCGTTGTTCGAGGGTCAGCCACATTTTATTTTACTGCTTTAATCAATGATCTTTGTGCATGGGTTAAAATTTGCCACTTTAAGGACATTTAAGGTATATTTTCATTCTAGTAGAGGCTATACCTTTGTACCTGAGAAATAGTTGTTAATCAGGACCCTCCATCACAAACTGTCCTTTGGCGTGAAAAGGAAGTAACAGCCTCTCCCTGTGAGTTTTAGTTTTGGACCAGCTCATGGGGGTCCCCTTGCCCTGGTTGCCCTGTGACTTCCCCACAGCTGGGGATCACGGTCGTGACTGGCACGAAGACGATGGAATCCTTCCCAGAAGGTTCTCAAACTGATGTGACCTGGAAAAGGATCCCCACTTGTGCGTATGCAAGGAAATGGTGCGGGGGACCCGGGAGACATTGCACAGGCCCTTCCTCTTCCGGCACTTCACTGTCCAGAAAATTCAACCTTGTTTTCATCTGTACTTCAGGAAAGCATTTTTACTTGGCATGCATACTGAAAATACAAAATCTGAGTTGGCCAATTAGACACATTAAATATTGAAGAGAATTGGCATTTGTAAAACTTGAATTCAAGGAGAAGTATTTTGTAGAAACCATTGTGAGGTCTTACAAGCTAGGGCAGCCGTGGGCAAACTACGGCTCGTTTGAAATGAATAAAACTAAAAAAAAAAAGACCATACCCTTTTATGTAATGATGTTTACTTTGAATTTATATTAGTTCACACAAACACTCCATCCATGCTTTTGTTCCGGCCCTCCGGTCCAGCTTAAGAACCCATTGTGGCCCTCGAGTCAAAAAGTTTGCCCACCCCTAGGGCCTGCCTTGTGCAGCCGCAGTAGCCAGCTTGAGGAGGCGTCAACCATCCACAGCCTCGCGCAGACACAGGACCACGCGGAGGGGTGTCTAATGGCCACAGCCTCACGCAGGCGCAGTAGCATGCCCAGGGGGTGGCTAACGGGCCACAGCCTTTGCAGGCGCAGTACCGTCCGGAGTGGGTGGCCAACGGCCCACAGCCTCGCGCAGGCGCAGTACCGTCTCGAGGGGGTGTCTAACGGCCACGGCCTCCGCAGGCGCAGTAGCAGGCTGAGGGGGTGTCTAACGGCCACGGCCTCACGCAGGCGCAGTGGCAGGCTGAGGAGGTGTCTAACGGCCACGGCCTCCCCAGGCGCAGTAGCAGGCTGAGGGGGTGGCCAGGATCACAAGCGCCCTTCCTTCAGGCCTCAATCCTTGCCTGCCGCATTCCTCCATTCTCTCCCCTCACCTTGTGAGTGACTGGCCATGGGCTGGGCTGTGGGCGTCTGCTGGGCCAGCCGGAGAGTGGGCGCTGCGAGAGCGCGTTTCCTGAGTGCGGGGATGGCGCCGGGTCCCCGCCAGCCTGCTGGCGTCCCACTCGGGGGTCCTTGCTCTGTTACCCCCGTGTCTAGGATGGCGACTGTCCAGGGTGAGCTTATAAAGAATTTAACTTCAAAGGAGAGCGTTCCTCGTAATAAGATCTCCATCATAGGATCCGGGTCGGTTGGCCTGGCCTGCGCCATCAGCATCCTGCTGCGCGGCCTGAGTGACGAGCTCGCCCTGGTGGATGTGGCCGAAGGCAAGCTGAGGGGCGAGATGCTGGACCTCCAACACGGCAGTCTTTTCGTGAAAATGCCCAAAATCGTTTCCAGCAAAGATTACCAAGTCACGGCCAACTCCCGCCTGGTGATCATCACGGCGGGTGCGCGCCAGAAAAAGGGAGAGACGCGCCTCGACCTCGTCCAGCGCAACCTGGCCATCTTCAGGCTGATGATTTCTGACATCATGATGCACAGTCCGAACTGCAAGGTGATCATCGTTTCCAACCCGGTGGATATCTTAACTTACGTCACCTGGAAGCTGAGCGGAATTCCCCAGAACCGCGTGATCGGAAGCGGCTGCAATTTGGACACCGCCCGTTTCCGGTTCCTGATCGGCCAGAAGCTCGGCCTCCACGCCGAAAGCTGCCACGGGTGGGTGCTGGGCGAGCACGGGGACTCGTGCGTCCCGGTGTGGAGTGGCGTCAACGTCGCGGGCGTCCCGCTGAGGGACCTGAACGCGCAGCTAGGGACCGACCAGGACCCCGAGCGCTGGAAAGATGTCCACAAGGAGGTGGTCGCTAGCCCCTACGAGATCATCAAAACGAAAGGCTACACCTCCTGGGCCATCGGCCTTTCCGTGGCTGACCTGGCGGAAAGTGTTCTGCGGGACCTTCGGAGAGTGCATCCGGTGTCCACCATCGTGAAGGGTCTCTACGGCATCCGCGAGGAGGTGGCCCTCAGTGTCCCCTGTGTCCTGGGCGGGGACGGGATCGCAGGCCTGATCCAGGTGAAGCTGACCCCCGAGGAGGAGGCCCGCCTGAAGAAGAGCGCGGAGACGCTGTGGGAGGTCCTGCGGGCCCTGGACGTGTGAGCCCCACGGAAGCACCTGCTGAGGGTGCGCACGAAGAGACCGTCCTTACGGTGTCACTTAGAGTCCCACACGGTGCAAAAGGAAGGGGGTAGAGCGACTGATGGCCCAGTTTGTTTAGCCCCCCAGCTCTGTTGTTTAACTTCCAGGTTTTGAGTTTTTTAACAGTTCCTAAGTGAGTGCATCAAAGGTTTTTGTTTGTTTGTTTTTTCTATCACTAATACACCAATACTTACCTTGAATTTATATGTAGTTGCCATTTGGTCCAAAAGAATGTGGGGTGTAGGTGTTTATTGTGTTGTAGAAATTTATTCTTTTCATTAAGTACATGTTCATTCTTTCATTCTGACTAGCTTATGTACTATTTTTAAAGTTATAGCTTTCTCTGCAGTGAAAAATAAACGTACAGAGGTACTTTTGTAATGGAGCCATCTGCTGCCCTCATTCTCCTGTGACAGCCTATCCGCAGGGCCTTTCGAAGGACATCATGAAATGGTCCTGCATATTCGTGTGTGTTTGTGTGTGTGCAAGTGCTGTGCACTCTCATGCCAGTGAAGTAGGATCATGAGGTTAAACTATGAAAATAATAGTGATCAGGTTGGTAGCTGTTATGAAGTGTTTAATGCAGTAAAATATAAAGCTTTTAAGAAGAGGCTTGACAGTCAGAGGTGGTACAATTAGTCATTTATTTGGCAGAGAAACATTCTAAAAGTTTGCAGCTACTAAAAATAAAGCCTGACAAATCATTTCAGAATTGCCTCTGAGAACCTGACCTGTTGGCACCTTAAATCAAGGAGCATGTTATAAATTGTTCTTATTGGGCTGAGTCTCCCCAGCATCGTGGCCCTGGCCCTAACACTCTCCAGGGTCGTCCCTGTTGCTCAGTGTCCTCACATTAACGGAAAGCTTTTGCTTTTGAATTGTGCCCTGTTGTCAATCACTGTCATAAAAATTGGCCATTTCAGTGAGTACTTCAGGGGTTGTATTTCTCAAAAAGTTACACTTTTCATTTTTATTCCTAAATCAATAGACTTTACTACAGATTTTAGACTTTATGCATGTGATACATGAGCATTTAGGAGAAAGTAAAGGGGCTTGTCTGACCTTTACCTAAATGATAGTACTGTAACTTACAAAATAAGAAGTTGAGATTTTTTGTATTCATGTTAGCTTTCCTAATACAATTGGATATTAAATAAATAATATGGTATATCTTAGGACCCATATGGATATCAGCAGGCCTAATCAAAAGTGAAGAGTACCAGCATCGGCTCTCTAAACTAAACCAGTTCTCCTTAGTTGAATTTAATCATGTAGATATAGGACAGTGATCTGCCAACCAAGATGACTCTACCATCTGAGTTCCCTTACTATTTCATTGACAACATCTAGAAGTGTTCTGATTCCCTAGGAAGCAGTCCCGTATAAGAAAAGCCTAATATGCTAAGAGTCCCATCGGCCATTCAACCAATCAAAGCATAATATGCTAATGATGTGGTAAGGCTGCTCAACCACTCACTATGACGTGCACTGGCCACCATGGGGCAGACGCTCTGACTGGTAGGTTAGCTTGCTGCTGGAGTCCCAATTGGGAGGACTGAGCGAGATGGGCCGGACACGCCCTAGAGCCCTCCCATGGCCCCTCCCCAGCTGGCCAACCTCCCGAATCCCTTCCCAGCTCCGATCGTGCACCAGTGGGGTCCCTCGGCCTGGCCTGTGCCCTCTCACAATCTGGGACCCCTTGGGGGATGTCGAAGAGCCAGTTTTGGCCCGATCTTGCAGGCTAGGCCGAGGGACCTACTGGTGCACGAATTCGTGCACCAGGCCTCTAGTATCATATAATGGGACTGATTGATGTATTGAGCACCCTGAAGGTGGGTAGGGTGTGGGTTCATTTGTTCCAGATAGTTATAAGAGTTCTTTAAGCTCAACTGCACAGTTTCTCCTCTCCTTGGTCCAGGCCTTGTTTCAGCCATGTTTCAGCTAACGTTAATGTCCTATTGAACAGCATCAGAGCATATCTCGTATCTTATAATTCTCTTCATCATTAATGTCAGGATATGTTGGGTTATACTGCACTAAAAAACAATCTCCAAGTGTGCAGCTTAAAAGTTTATTTCTGTCTCGTATAAAATCCACTGTTGGTTTACACGACTCTAGGGAAGCTATCCTCCATAAGCTGGCTTAGTATCTCAGATTGCCTTGACTTCCATGCTTGCTATGGAAAGGGAAGAGAGGCCTGGAGAATCAAACACCTGTAGTTAAATGCTTCATCCCACAAGTGACATTTCATTTCTATTGCATTTCATTTGCCAGAACTGATCAAATGGTCACCTAACTTCAAAAAAGGGTAGAGAAGTCTAACCGCTCTGTATCCATGAGTGAATGAGTACAGGCTCTTGGTGAACATGGGTAACAATCTGCATGCCATCCTATATAAAACGGTCACCATGTATAGTCGTTTTTAGTGAAGCTCATAGTAGAGGCTATAGAGGTACTGTGTCTTCCCAGGTCACAGAACCAGAGTGACTGTCAAGAGCGAGCTCTGGACATCAGTCAGGCAGTTGTACTTGTAAACCATGTCACCATGACCGGGTGACCTCTCTGGTCCCTGGTTGCTCCGTGTAAACTGACAGTCCTCATTTCTGCCACATAGAATTGTGAAGGCTACATAATTGCCTGTTTCTTGGTACAGCGCCTGCCTCGTAGGTGATCCCAGATGGCAGACATTATTATTCCTGTTAAGGTAACATTTATAGTCTTATTCTGTTTTAGTTTATGAAGAGGCTGAATTTCCAAGGTCTTCAAAATTACCACTGGTGCTGTAATTATTGACATGTCCAAAGGCTTTGATCCTAGAAAGCTTTCATCATTCTAACCCCAGCACTGAGGCCGACCTGCAGATAAGCTGGTCAATGGCAAAGGCACTTTACAACTTGGAGCTTTTAGTCCCAGCAACTACCTATTTATTAGAATCAATGATGTAAGGATTTTATGAAATTAACTATTAACTATATCAGGGACATATCCTGAAGCTTTTTTTTGTTGTTGACACTATTACAGATGTTCACCATTTCCCCCACTTTTCCCACCTCCACCCAGCCCCGCCGCCTTCCCCTGGCCTTCACCACTCTGTTGTCTGTGCCCATGGGCTTGCATATATGTTCCTTGGCTCCTTTAGTTCCTTTTATCCAGTTCCCCCTCCCTCTGACCTCTGACCTCTGTCAGACTGTTCCATGTTCCTATGGCTCTGTTTCTCTTTTGTTCATCAGTTAATTTGTTCATTAGATTCCACAGATAAGTAATATCATATGGTATTTATCTTTCTCTGACTGGCTTATTTGTATCCTGAAGCTCTTAAGTAATTTCTCAGCATACCACATATTAGACTGAAAGTTTTCACATTGGTTTCCCCCACTAGGACATGCATGGTAAATACACAGCACAGCCCATGTTCACTCCTGGCCCTTCCAGAAGCTACTGAAATGTGGAGGAGAGCGACATTATTAGAGATGTACTCTTGAATCTGTTCTAATGTCTAAAAAGTCTATTGGATCCAGTCTTCAGAACGTCCGGATTAGTGACAAATTACCCGTTGCCATGACACTCCATTTGAGAACTGCTGCCTTGGACACTGTACTTTCTGATAATGTTAGAACCCAGCACAAACACTGGGACCTAAGAGAGCAGTTCTCGGGGCAGCAGGCTCAGTGCCTAGGGAGTGCCATCATCTGTGGAGAGCACCTGGATTGTGCAGTGCGCGGCTGCGTGCTCAGAAGGGGAGCCCTCTGGGCCAGAGCCACAGAAAACTCCCTGCTCAGAGGGAGCAGATCCCAGAGTTTGGAGTGAAACTGAGTTGCTGGATGGAGACACTAGTTCCCAGCATGCCCCATCTTCACCAAGCTTTTGGGGTATAGAGTAGGGATGGTTCTATGGCAATGGCTGTGATTGTGATCATGGAATTCAGTACATTAATAACCAAGTTTGTCAAAATGTACCCAAGCCCTCCATCTTTTCCAGCACACTTTAAAGCAGCAGAGTGTTCTGCTGGGCTGTGATAAGAGTATCACTGGTAAGACCTACACCTCTGAAGCGCATATCAGAAATGGATCTAGGTGGAAAAACTGGAGGTTTCCATTTACTGTGCATGCAATATAAATAGTATCAGCTTTAAAACCTTCTATGAAGTCCCATTGTTTAAAGCAACTTGAGGCCCTGTTTGTAATGAAATGTGGACTCTGGGTTTCCATTTCCGCCGCTGCAACCTTAAAGGAGAGGGCTGAATGGTGTTCTTATCCCACTTGCCTCCTCCTCCCTTACCTCGCTCTGAAGCCTGTCCCTAGTGGGCTGTTTCTGAGATATGGTTCCTTCTAGTGGCTCAGTTACTCACTTAGGACCCTGGGTACACGTGAATAATGCAATACTGGAGAAATGAGAGGCAAGAAAAAAATCGGGCCACAAGGAGAGAATGGGAACAGACCATGCTGAGGTAGGGCAGCCACCCCTTCCTCTCCTACCCGGACCCGGATGCATTGCCCAGCATCCCCCTTCTCAGCAACCGGCCATGTCCCAGATCGCTGGGAAGGTGGAGCGGTAGGTGATTCTGTCCGTGTGCTGGCTACCTGACACTCCATTTGAAAACCCTCACGTTAGGCCGAGTGGTAACAAATGTGCAACCAGAAAAGCGAAGGAAAAGAACCAGGCAGCACATTGCAAACCAGAGAGCTGTCCGTCTTTCAACTGAGAAAGGCCGATGCACATCTCCTCAGCAGGGGCACGTGGTATTTTGGACAACGCCGTTCTTTTTGTGGGCCACCCTGGACATGACGCACCCATGCCCTCCAAGGTGAAAGTAGCGGTCCCCTGTGATGTGACAACCAAAAACACCCCGCACTTTCAGGCCCTCCCCAGGGATGCAGTCCTGCCCCTAACAACCTCTCCTGAAGGGTTCATCACAGTACAAATGAGAGAGCTGCATGTAAGAGGGGGTTCGGCGTCCCGTGCACACGTGTGTCTTCAAGATTGGTGTCTGGGACCCGACACTGACACTGTATAGATACTATCATGGACTGCTGTAATGGAGATAGCCGTATGTATCTTCTAGTGTCAGTGCTTAAACCAAAATGACATATAACTATAAAACAATACTCTTCATAAACATACCATAACATTTATATCCATATGAGCTTTGTTCTTGGAACACAGCACATGTACTTTGATGAAGCGGTAATGGCAGTAGCTAATTATATTGAGCACTTACCAGTGTTCGGCGCTGTGCTTCCTATGTATATCTTACTCCCCACAACCCTGGAGCAGGCAATTGCCTCCATCCCACACACCTGGACACGACTGCTCAGCAGAAGCAGCTTTCCCAGGCGCTGGGCCTGGGTTTGCACAGAGAGGCCTGTCTGAGC